TCCGCAAACCTCAAATGACTCAAACGTATTTGTATAAGTGTAACAACAAACTTATAGGTTTGCAGTTTTTAACATTAGCAGTGTCTCCTTTCTTGTGTAAAAATATTATTTCGTCGTTTTCCTACAGACTGGCTAATCTTTTTTCTGTTAGGCATTTAGTCAACAAAACTTCCACAACCTCTACAACGATGTTGCCGCCCATTTTTAACATTTCAGACGTTATACGATCCTCAACAGGAGCTTTTCATTTGCTATAAAGCATGTCTAATTTCCAAAGAAGTTATTTTAGGGAGAGTTTCCAAGCCGACGTTTAGAATTCTTCTATGGTCTGTTCCGGGTTTCTGTAAAATAGATGTATACAGATTCTCATAAAACGTTTGCATTTCCTTGATTATTTGAGTTTTTTCCGTCACCGCATTCCCCTGTTGGTTTTTTATTTTAGTTATCTTTGATTTTTCTTTAGTTAAGTTTGTTTTTCAATACTCTCATGTTTCTATTGTTTTCGATGGTTTGCAATATTTGTTTTGATTGATAGGCTCGAATGTCTGACCTTATGCTCTCTACAAGAAAAAGATGCAGAGAAAATGGACGTGGCACAGCCCAGACGGTAAAGTAAAAAATAAATTTGACTTTATACTCTCTAACTTCAAAAACATTGCTAAACATGTTACTGTATTAAATTCTGTCAACGCTGGTAGTAATCATCAATAAGTTAGGGTGCGAATAGAAGTAAATACGAAAATAGATAGAAGAAAATTATTAATACAGGATAAATTACCAATTATAGACGCACTCGAAATGAATCAAGAAGAATATCAAAGTGAACTAAAAAAGAAACTAGGACCTCTATCAGTATTCAATACGAAAGATATAAATAAAACAACACAAAAATTAACAAATGATATAACATCAACTGCAAAAAAGATATGTAGTAAAAATAAATATCCGAGAAAAGCAAAATTGAAACAAACAAAATTGGATTTAATGGAAGAAATAAGAAGAACATCGAAAGAATCACCAGAGTATATCCAGTCATACTATTGTGTTTAATTTCCATTTTATACCAGTTATTAAAGTAAATTGCTCAAAAAAGCACCTTCAAAACAATATATTTGTACTAATATCTAACATATCTAACTAAGCATTTGCGTATGTTTATTTTTTTAGTGTTTAAGGCGGCTATACCTCAAATTTCACCATATCAACCCTATTTTACGTACCTACGATTTAAAAATATCTTATATCTTTATGTTGTATATGAAATATCTAATAGAACAATTTTATTATATAGTAAAATATCTATCTAAGTAATTGAATCATATTGAATCTTAAAGGTGCCGCATATTGTGTAATTTAGAACCGAAAGACAATATATGTTAAAATATTAATTAAAATGTTGATATACCTATTTAGTAATTAAATAAATATGTATGGAATACAAAATCAGTGTTTTATTTCGTAGAGGACTGGCAATAAGTTTGGTTTCCTAAGTTAAAGAACAACTGATATTTCTATTTATCCATCCTTTTTCAAATGCTTTATAAAAAGTTAAAAATGAAGTATAAAAAGTCCTTTGAACTCTTCACTGAAAATTAGCGACAAATGTAACTGACTAAGGCAGCAACCAACAGGTCGAATTACTAAATCCAAAAAGATTCTATTAAAAAAACGGCACCACTAGAAAAAATTATCCGGTCACTGCATCATGTTGTTTAAAAGCAACATACTATAAATAAACATTTATTTTAATAAAAGATAAAGATGAATCAGTTTGTGCATTACTGTGTTGTTCACTAACAATGCAGTATTAATCAGCGTAAGTAGACTAGACAATCATAAATGGTGTTTGTTACCAGTGTTGTGTCTTCTTAATTAGATAGTGTACACGATTAGATACTGACACGTGCTTTAGATTGTTTTTGTTAGTTTTACCAAAGTAATTTGAGTAATTGTATTTTACGTGTTATTAATAAGGTAAGTAAAATGCATGACTTCTTGCGGTATACAGTACTGCGCATATTTTTCTCATAATGATGTATTTTTTTATTGTTGTCAATCAACATCATCTTCTTCTTCTTCTTGTAGTGCCTATCCGTTTCTGCACTTTGCACACTGCTGCTCTAAACAGATTTGTGGTTGTTGTGTTGACCACGTTCGTAAATTTTTCAGCCAGAAAATCCTTCGCCTTCCTGGTCCCCGTTTTCCTTTTACTTTTCCCTGCAAGATTAGTTGCAGCAGTCCATATCTTTCGCTGTTCCTCATGATGTGACCGAGGTATTCGATTTTGGCTGTTTTTATTGTGGTTAACAGCTCTTTTTCTTTTTTTCATTCTCAACAGAACACCCTCATTTGTAACGTGGTCGGTATACGATATCTTCAGGATGCGACGATAAAGCCACATTTCAAAAGCCTCAATTTTCTTGCAGGTGGCGTCTGTGAGAGTCCATGTAACCTGATTTTTATGGGCATTGATACATCACGACATTTGATTAACTTAGCCATTTTTTGAAATGCAGATCTTGCTTTCTCTATTCTACATTTGATTTCTATGGAATGGTCCCAATTTTCATTGACGTTCGTACCAAGGTAGGTGTATGTTTTTACTCTTTCTATTTGTTGACCGTTTACACTGATTTGTTCAAATTGCTGTTCCTTCTTAGAGATCATCATGCATTTTGTTTTCTTAGTGTTTAGTGAAAGTCCGTATCTCTGACTGAGCTCTGTGATTCTGTTCATTAACTTCTGGAGGGTTTCAGAACTGTCAGCGAATACTACCGTGTCGTCCGCGTATCTAATGTTATTGATAGATTCTCCGTTGATTCGAATTCCGGCTTCAACATCACCCACTGCTTCTGAAAGATTTCCTTAGAGTATATGTTAAACATCAGTGGTGATAGTATACATCCCTGACGGACGCCACGATTAATTTTGATATCGTCGGATTTTCCTGCCTCTGTCCGGATAGATGATGTTTGATTCCAGTACAGATTGCTGACAATTCTTAAATCATAGGTGTTTATTCCAATATTGGTTAATATCTCCATCAGCTTGTCGGGCTTTACTGTATCGAACGCTTTATGGTAGTCAATGAAGCACGCATAAATGTCGCAGTCCACGTCTCTACATCGTTGAAATAGCACTTGTATACTAAAGAGAGCCTCTCTCGTACCCACTGCATTCCGAAAACCAGACTGTGTACGGCTGATTTTTTCTTCGCACAGTCTATATATCCTTTGATGTATGATTTTTAGAAGTAATTTTAGAATATGACTCATTAAGCTGATGGTTCGGAAATCACTGCAGGATACGGATAACAACATCATGAATATTGTAAATTTTATCTTTTATATAAAACATCATGAGTTGGAAAGATAAAAGGCCGCTGACTGACAACGAACTTGCCGATATATTAGATAGGCTTTGGAATATAAAAGATGGGTTTGATGATGATTATGATATTGTCTATCTAGATTTCTTACCTGACGAACAAGTTGGTACATATGATAAGTCTGACGAGAATTCTGAACCAGTGAACGAAATGGATGAGAATGCTGTAGACACTAATATAGTTAATAGCACTGTTGAGGAGAAGCCTCCAGAAACTGTGATTTATCCAAGGGCAAAGGTGTACTTATTTTACAATCAATTTGTGATCAAAATACTAGATGTTTTTTTTTTATTTTTAAACATTATATGGAGAAAAAAATTTGAACTTATCTGAACAGCAACTGGAATTTAGAGGAAATCAGAGTTTTCCAAATAATATCCTACAACTAGAAAGTCCCTATAAATATTTAATTGATTCTTCACAGATAGCTTTTTAGGCAAAATTGCGGAAAAAGTCAAATTTATATGTCATACAGCAGAATCCTAACAAAGCACTCAATATTACACGAAGTGACATAAAGCAGTTTATTGGAATTATAATATATATATGTCCCTTGTTCATTTGCCCAATAGAAGAGCATATTGTTCAGAAGAAATTGGCTTTGAGAAAATAAAAAAGTGCTATGTCAGTCAACAGATATGAAAAAATCAGACAATTTTTATATTTCAATAATAACGAGAATGCCTTATCCTAAGAGGAACTAGTGTAGAGTTTGTTGGTACTTGCGATGGTGTGGAAATAAGTAGCTTAGTGTGAAAAGATAACAAATGAGTCACGTTTCTATCGACGTTCGCTGTTGAAGTTCCGAAAACTAATGCCAAAAGATATGACAAGAAAGCAAAGAGAACAAGAGAAGTAACTTGTCCATTTCTTGTACAGGAATACAACGTTGCGGTGTTGATTTGTTGGATACCATTATCGGACGGAAAATAAATTATTGTAAGGAGTAAAAAATGATATTTTAGAATATTTTACCATCTACTAGATCTACCTAGAACAGGATTCTTTCACACACGCTTAGTTTAAACGCTTTCTTTTAAAGTCACACACGCTCAGTTTAGAACACAACTGGCAGAAGCATTATGCAGGAGAGAAGAGCGATTCACCATTGCAAAAAAGGGAAGACTTTCAGAAAGTGAAACTGAGGAGGCGCTACAAATAAAGAAGAGAAAAGGCCCACCATAGGTTATGCCAGTAAAGGATGTTCTAATGGATGGAATTAACAATTGGCCTGTTTGGTCCGAAAAACAAATAAGTTGCGAAAAATGTGGTGTAGCTCTTTGCTTCACGAAAACAAAGAACTGTTTTAAAAATTTTCATTTTTCCTAAATATTGTTTTGTATATATTTATTTGCATAAAATTGTTCATAAACAACACTTATATTTTTTCTGAAATAAAAAAACAGTTGTTTATTTTTTTTTTATTCTTTCCCGTAAAAAATAACGAAAATCCAGTCTGCAAACTTTTTTGTAACGAAAAATAAAAATTATGCAGTGAAGGGTTTAATCTTAAAAATTTGTTGGTTTTATACTTCGTATTTAGGTTGACTAGACACTGCCTAATAAGTTCAAAATAATTCCTCTAGTGTGCAGCACGTGGCACTACAACTGTCACTGTCAAATACATAAATACAAATTTTCTCAACTCATTTCTCTTTGCACTCTCTTTGATAGTGTAGGTTGAGTACAATTTGTCGGCACACGATTTTCGTGTTTAATGATAATTATTAAATAAATTTTATTATTTGTACAGAGAAAATGGGTCGTCTTACTGTATTAACGTTAATTTTTGCGTCAATAGTAATCACATTAGCTCATGAAGATGTTTACTCAATCAAATATACTACAGAAAATTTTTCACACGAAGTCGGAAAGAAAAATCACTTCGTTATGTTTTACGCCCCTTGGTGAGTTTTTTTTAAGTATACAATATAGTTTTTATAAAATGCTCATATATTCCAATAATATACATATATTAAAACATATTTTTCATGTTAGGTGTGGACATTGCCAAAAATTTTCTCCAAAATGGGAACAATTAGCTGAAATGTTGAATGAAGATGACACGAATAATATAAAAATAGCTAAAGTTGATTGTACTACAGATAGTGAAGTGTGCTCCGAACAAGACATTACTGGATATCCTACACTTAAATTTTATAAAGTAGGTGACTCTGAAGGTGTAAGATTTAGAGGAACCAGGGATCTACCTTCAATAACTAATTTTATTAACGAGCAACTTAGGGAGGTAGGTAGATGTTTTGTTTTGGTAACAATAGATATTTAAGTGATCATATATGGTTTTACTCCATATAAAGATATTTAATGTCTTCCATGGTGTTTCAATACCAATTATGGTAAGTTAATGCTCCTCACATTGAAATATTTCTTTGTGTTTAATTGTTTATGAACCTTGAATTTGACACAATAGAGTGTCTTTGTTTATTTAGCTAATTCATTTTAAGGGAGATGAAACCAATACTGAGGAAGCAACCTCTAATGAAGCTGCAGCTGTTGATGGCTTGACGGAGCTGACCGAAGATAATTTCCACAAACATGTTAAGAGTGGTAAACATTTTATCAAGTTTTATGCTCCCTGGTGTGGACACTGTCAGGTAAGTTAGTCATATTTCATTCAGTGATTGTTTTTTAATTGTTAAAAATGATAACAAAGCATATTTTACATTTTGATCAAGATTAGATAAGTTGTCATTGGTTTTAGGATGATAAATACAAATGTTCTCTGTGCTTTACATTTATTTAACAAGTATGTACTAACAAAAGAAATATTTTTACACTTTGCAGCATATTTTATTCTAATCTAAAAAAGGTATTGTTTTGCCACTTTTTTGGATATATATCCAACATATTCAGGGAGTTTTGAGTTTTGTACCTTTTCATAAATATTAAGGACAGCTATGTTAGAAGGTGCTGCAAAATAATGTTTTGATGTGACCCATTTGCCACTTTTTGTAGATTTCTTTCCCAGGATTATCTTTTAGCAGATTTGACTTCATTTTTTAGTTATTCCATTTAAAATCTAAATTTTTTTAACCACTTTTCTTTTTTTGATGTTTTCTTGTGTTTTACAATAAATGTATGTTTATTATATTAATAGAATACAAAATTTTCACATTTTTGAGTATTATGGACAAAATTGTGACCCATATATTTCGACAGTTGCTGATTTTATCATAAAAAAATCATGAATGAAATTTGCAAGTTGATCTGTTAAGTTATAATTAACTTTTCCCAAACTTCTGTGATATATAACAAAAATTATAAATAGTAAATTTCCGTGTTAGATTGGTTGTTTTTTCTGGAGCTATCTGTAAGATTATGCCTATCTTTGTTCAAATCCGGTAGAGGAATTTCTTATCAAAATCGTTTTTAATTAACAGAGATAAGCAAATTCAAGATAATGTGTAAAGTCAGAAAGAAAGGTCACTGAAGAATTTATAGGTAGAAAGAGATAAGATGCTCAGGAAAACAAGGAAAAGTTCTTTAAAAAAGTATAATTTACTTTTGGTTGACCTGTCCTGAACACTAGCTTGTCTTTGTATAATTTTGTATTTTCATTACCTTTTTTTATTCTGTTTTTGGTTTCAGGATATTGTTTTTCCTAGGTATGTATTCTAGACTTTGTGATCTCCTTTCTCATATTATTTTACTTCTCTATTCATCAGGAATTCAATTATCAAGAATCATCAGTTTTTCTGATGATTTTTATCTTTTTAGATTTTCTTGTGCCTCAAGTGTCTTGTTTTGGTATCTTTGTTCTTTCATATGTTGTTATTGTTCTTCGTCTGTCTCTAATGAACCTACCAAATCTATAAAATGGTTTTAATTGCACTGGTTACAGTCAGCATTATGGTAGTTAAAGACTGTTTTGCTTTTTGCATGCTCTAAGTTTGTAGAAAAGTTCTTACTTCAGTTTTTTGAAATGGCACAGGATTAATCGTGAGATATTTTCTAGATAAGGGTATAACAATACTTGAGAATTAATAATCAATGCTACTGAATATTCTATAAGTATGAATTATGGGGAGACAAAGAGAAAAGTTGTCCATAGTTATTCTATTTTTATAGGAAAATGGAAAAGAACCCTTTTTTTTATTAATTTTTATATAATCCTTGAAAAAAGATCTAAAATGTCATGAAGACTTTTACAAGAAGGGTGTGACAGCGATGTGATGTGGAGGCCTGGTTTGCAAAGCAAGATAAAAATTTTAAGATCTAGAAGTCGTTTTCTGCGGGTCTACTAAAGTTTTCTTTAACTTACAGTTGTATATGTCATACCAACATTTTTGTCTTGCTCTAATTATCTCCATGTGCTTGTTTGCTATTTTTAATCGAGGGGGCAGCTATATTAATAGCCTTAAATCAATGTTAGCTGCAAATACAAAAATAGTTTTTTATTAGTACTTGAATTTCGATGTCTATGTGGATTTTTATTTAGTTTTGTAATTCCCAATAATGGAGAGGCATCATTTAAATCGTGAAATACAGCTGCATGCTATCGGGATGCTTCAAGCTGACAGAAGTCCAAGAGATGTTGCTGAGCTCCTCCACATGAACAGAAGTGTCATTAGTCGTTTGTGGTTAAGGTGTAAAAAAACTGGTGATGTTGCTGAACATCATACAGGCTGTACAAGAATAACCAACCAGGTTGAAGACTGTTTTATCAGGTTGCATTCTTTGCGAGAACTGCATCACAATTACAAATGAGGCTTCAAGAGACCCATCAGGTGTTTGTAAGTGGCCTAACTATTAGAAATAGACTGTATGAAGTAGGGCTTCAGTGGGCACAAGATCTTGCAAATTGGGTTAGATGTGAGTGGGCTTCTACTACTTATTCACAGATGAATCTCGATTTGGATTTGCACCAGATACTGGGCGGACAAGAATTTGGAGACAGTCTGACAATGCTGAACTATTGGACTACATGCATAAGGTATGAACCTTATGACAGCAAGGCGGCGCGGCAGTATAATGGTAAGGGGTGGCATCACTCTTGGTGGAAGAACCAATTGTTGTCTGTCCAATTTCAATTAATGCACGACAATGTGTGTCTTTCTACTGCCAGGGACTTGTGAACATTTGTCAATGATAATGAAATTAAGGTTTTACAATGGCCTGTACAATCGCCAGTTTTAAATCTAATTGAGCATGTATGGGGCATATTGGGCAGACTCATTTTACAACAAAATGTTGCATTCAATACAAGACATCAACTGGTTGAGGGTCTTTCAATGGAGTGGAACAGAATACTGCAGCAAGATATTGACCATCCGCTCATGAGTTTGCCTTACAAATGTAGGACAGTAAATAACAACTGTGGAGGTCATACACTATACTAACTTAACCTAAAGACTACTTTGTTGGGAGTTGAGGGGCCACAACTTAGTTTTTTATTGTTTTTTAGTTCTCTTTGACTTTTTTGAGTTCTCTTATTAAAGAAAATATTTTTATGTTATTAACTTTATAATTTTTATTAAAAATATTTGAAATAAATTATTTGAAATCCTTCTGTAATCTCGCATTTTGTTTTGCCCCATAGATTATTTTGATGTGTGTATATACTTAATAATATTGCATTATAAAACAAATTAACACAATATTTGTCCAATGTAAGTGTAACAAACAAATTTTCGAAAAAATAAATTGTGAATATTTAAGTTGATTATTTGTATATGTCCTTTTATTAATGATGCAAATATTTACAAAACAACAAACACTTAGCCTATCTTTGACAATTATTTACACTTTTTACCTTATTAAACAAAGTTATATCCTTATTTAAAAATAGATTTAATAATATAATACGAATAATAAATAAATAATTTTTTAATCAGTACTACAATATTTTCCAAATTACAACCAAAGTTCTTAATAGGCAATTAAGATGTAATTCAAGATGAATTATACAAATTTTGGTCAACAATAAATGTTAATTTGACTGAAATTTTTGCAAAGCTTCGTCAAAAATAATTATTTTTTGCTCTTATTAGACCTGTATTTATTAATTTGGTCCTGAGACTATGTTCTTGTGACAGTTCTATGTGATCTACTGTATAAAATGAGAATTAACCACCATTTTAATTGAAAATACTCTATTTTGATGTTTAGATTTCCACTTCAGAAATCGTTTGTATTTGTTACTTCTTCAGATCAAGTTTTTTGGAGATATAGAGGCAAGCTCATTAGGTGGGTTCAGTGGCGTACCCGGCGGGTTTGGGGGTTAAAACCACCCAGGGCATACAAAATAAAAAATATATAAAGAATAGTAGGAAAATGTAACTTGTCTTTCACACACAATACAAAAAATCCAAAACGCTAATTTAATATTTAAATTACTTGTAACAACCTGTACATGTGAAGGTTATTTGATCGCTGAAAGTACTACAGACTTCTTTAAGAAATTGTATTAGTGAAGAGAGACTAAATGGTTTAGCTTTGATGTTTATCCATCAGGAAATTCAAATAGATGAAGAAGAAGGCATAAATTATGTGGCTCGAAAGCAACGCCATTTAGACATTTTATTATAGATTCCTGGTTAATTCTGCATGTGTTAGCAGTAGACAGGAGATATCTCTATGAGAGAAGGGAGCATTTGACAACAGACATAAAAAGAAGAAAAGGAAAGATGGAAAGAGGAGTGGAAGAATACGGAAGATGTTGCCCAGTGGACCAAGATACTGATCCCGAGCCTAAGGAACTGGTTAGATTGTCTGTTTTAAATGCATATACTGCTAATGGTTTTGCGTTCGGCAAACTTTCTTACGTTCTAAAAAATCAAACAATCCCTCTACACTTACGAAGCAAGGTATATAACTCCTGTATAATACCGGTGCTCACCTACGGAGCACAGACATGGACATTTACACGGGAAAATTTGGATAGGATAAGGAAGTCACAACGAGCGATGGAGAGACAAATGTTGGGTATATCACTTAAAGATAGAAAACGTAACCTGTGGATCAGAACCAGAACAAAGACAGTAGACGCGATAGAACAAGCAGCAAAACTGAAATGGAAATGGGCTGGACACTATGAACGTCTCCAAGACGGATGATGGAACAATACCATCGGAAAGTGGCGTCCATACAATGCAAAGAGATCAAGAGGCAGACCACAGATGAGGTGAAAAGATGACATCAGGAAACAAGGAGGTCCCACATGGCAGAGAACAGCTCAAGATAGGGAAAGATGGAGAGAACTGGGAGAGACCTATATCCAACAATGGAAGGATAGAGAATAGGTTTAAAAAAAAAATAAAAAAAAAAATACTGCTAATATTTTCGACACTGTTACTATTACTCACACAAAGCTGGAGTGTAATAGGTGTACAGTGGAGAGAAACAGAATGTATAGATAAATAAGTGTGAACCCTCTGACTGTGAGAGATGATCGTGAAGATGACGGGAAATAAGGAGGGATGGAATAGTGTTCACAATTACATCTGAACACTAATTAAAAAGAAAGAAGAAGAGAAATACGAACCGGACTAACGACAGAGATAAGATCTAGATAAGAGAAGGAAGTGTTCCAAAAATATCGTCAGCCTAACAGTGGCCATCCCACTTTCGGAGTACGGTAGGTGTGACAGTCAACTGCGCACAAGTAGGAGAGGGTGGTTTTAGTTGGTAGACAGGATAACAGATAAATGACTCTTTGGTACTGCTATCTTTACTACTTTAAATTAAACTAAAACCCAAATTTTAAGGACTCAAAATAGAGGTAGCATAAAAAAAATTTCGGTGCCCAACCAATCTCCCACCAGGAAAATTCTAGGTGCGCCACTGGATGGGTTGAGTATATAAACGTTTATATTTCTGGTTCCTAACACGCATAAAGGAAGAAGTGTCTTATATAAGAGAATAATTTCATAAGTAGGTCGAAAGTAGCTCAGATTAAAGCAAAAACCTTACCTTTTTAGTATTTACCTTATTTTATAAGATTTTTAGATAATAATTAAGAGTAATTAAGCTCCAATACAATTCGCTTCCCATTTATCAGTATAATTTTTCCACAGGTCTAGTTTTTTGATATTGATATATTTGTTGACCTGTCTATGCAATTTGTAATATCTTCTCATTATGATATATGTATCCCTTATGCTTCTGTCTTGGACTAGATTACCGTTATATACTTTTAAACTGTTTTAAAAGAAAGGCAGTTATGATTTCACCCATAGTGTCTCTGTATATTCGCTTATACGTATTTCATCCCAACAGAAGGTTACAGAAGCTCTGAACATGGAAACAAATCGTTCCCGTCGAAAACGATCTTTATTTTATTTCGACATACTCTTTATGAGTACAGAGCATTTAATCAACTCTAAACAATTAATGAAATTCGCAGAAAAAGTTTTGTTGCAGTAAAAGGCACGGTAAACTGCACTGGAGGTCTCCATAATCTTTTTAATTACTTATTTTGTTTAGAATATTTGTGCCTTTATTATCAGTTAATTTGTATTCATTAAGAGTTAATTTGTATACAATGAGGAGCAAAAATTCAAATGGAATTTAAAATATTATTGTTTATTTTGTAAATAACATTATAATAGTGTACTTACTGATTATTTAAAGTTATAAATATTTATTATCGTCACTACCTTTACTACCGCTATCAATACATTTATTTACAGTTTTGGCAAATATTTCTGGAGTTGTAGTTTTAAGAGCTTCTTGCCACATTTCCCTAGCTACATCGTCACTGTATCCACTGCATCCAACGTAATTATTATAATACGTTTTACACATACCCCAGATGTGTTTGATGGGATTAAACTGGCGGTAACTGTAGTACTTAATATCCATAACTTGATATAATTTATTCAATTATATAAACTGTTGATTTTTCATTACTTTTCGAAATTTTCAGTAACTCTGATTTGAAGGTGTATTCCGGAAAATTGATATTATTTTTAACTAACCAATTTTTATGCTCAGTACGTTCCACGACTGTTTTGGTTGTTTCTCCAAAATCTCCGAATGGTAAGGTGCATTATCTAAAACTATAACTGATAGTTGACTCAGACTAGATAATAGTTTCGCGTCAAACCATTTAACAAACATATCTGCATTCATGTTTTCATGGTAGTCAGCAGTTTTTGATTTTGAAGAAAAAATCAAATCTGCGTTTTCTATAAAGCCTTCTTTCCTTCCTGCATGAAGAATGATGTTCTTTTGCCTTCGCTATCTTTGTGTTTTATTGATTTTATGCTGTCGTCTTGCCAAATACTTTTAATTCCACCCTTTGCAAATATCCATGTCTCATCTAAGTATACGAATGTTGCATTTTCAGATTTAATTCTAGTATATTCTCTCACAAATTTAATTCTTTTGTGAACCACACTACGCCTTCGCATAAAAGTAACCTATTATTTTCTTTTTTGAATTTATATGCTAAATCTCTCAACACTTTCCAAAGGTTAGTCCTCTTAATTTCAGAAACTTGTCCTTCTCTTATTTTGGCCAGTAAAGTATACTTCATCTTAAGTTACTTACCGATGCAACGTCATTATCATTGACAGAGATCGAAGTTAACATAGTTGCCAAAGTATAAAAAAATCCTGACTCCATTTTAAATCAAATAGGTCACATAATTATTGCAAAAGTATTACCATCTCTTTACAACGACTATTTAAATTCTTACATTTTGAAATAAAACACTAATTTTGTTCTAAAAAGCACAGATTTTATTAAATAGCTAAAAATATAAAACAAGAGGTATTCACTTTAAAATTCAAAATAATAAAGTACAAAAAGTGTCGACACCGCTACTGTCAAATAAGTGTTACCAATTTATGCCAAAATTTCACCTTTGTTCGATTACAGTTACAGTGTTTTCCGAACAAATATTCTTCATAAAAACGCTTTATAATGCATTTGTACAAATTAAATGAAACATATTGTGTATTTCTTTAAGTTAACATTAATAGAAATCTTTAAATATTATTTCTACGCGTATATAATAAAATATATCTAGTGGTTGTAATGCCAGTGTACTCGGCAAAGTGATTCTAAAAAAGAACACACCTATTATCTAAATATTTCGTGTTGGTATCATGTGACGTCACGAGCTATGAAGCCGATGACGTGCATCGGTATGTAAATTAGATGAAGTATATCTAAATTGACATGTTGATTGTTTTCACGCATTCGATACAAAATATTGCGAATTTCAAAATTTTCTCCATCAGGTAAGTCAATGCTCCTAAAATGTTGTTTTCTTGTCTTCGTGATACTCAGTTACAGTAAGATCTTCTTGAGAATCTCTGACAGTCTTTATTACAGTTTTTAGCTTCCTTTTACTTATTCCGAGTACGTCACAAACGCGTAGATTTATACATTATAATGACTTTAAATGTCCACCATTTTCTCTTTTCATGGTAAAGTATTTATGCACATTTGCTATTTATTCATCAATATCCAACTTAGCTCTACGCATGAAGGTCACTTTATATTGAGTTGAGATCAATATGACAGAAACTTTCTAACTGTTGTGCTTGAGAGGTAAAATATAATATAACCGCTAACGACCATACGGTCAATCTAACGACCATTGTTTAAATTGACAAAATGTTCTAGTTTACTCCGAAGTATTTTTTAATAAAAACTAAAAGTGATATTTTACTACTTTGTATATCTACTTTGAATATAAATTATCCCTATTAAAAAATTATTAAACAAGTAGGTGAAAAGAATTTACGTTAAATAACATCACAGAATACACCACCCAACAAGAAGCGAAACGAAGGGCTTTTCTGCAATCCAAATTTCTGTGACAATCCGCCATGTTCTAAATAGTTTATCTGTCAACCTATTAAAATTTAAGTTTGTTTATGTATTGAGAAGTGTTGTTCCGTGTGTGTTGTTTAATAGTAAAAAAAGGATAATACTATTATACATATTTTGTATACACATATACATATGTTAATACCTTAAAAATGTATCATAATATAATTAAGTATAATATAATAGTAAAAAAAAATAATACTGAGAAGAAAACATTAGTTTCAATGATTACTTCGTTTCGCAGTGTAACTATAATTTGACTACAGTTTTGAACGACTTCCTCATTTTTTTTAGTGTACTAAGTAGTTTAACTGTCATTGTCACTCCGAAATTTCTGACTGCTAACAGCAAAGGTACCGATGAAGCTTTCGCATTTTGTTGGGTGATGTATTCTGTGATAAGATTATGCAAGAATACTATTTATTATAAAAATTTATCAAAATATGCAAAACTATTAACAAAGGGTCAGTGACACATATACTTATTTTATACCTAAAATTTAAAAGTGTTAAACATTATGGAGAACACAAGTGCAGTTTATTGTGCCTTTTACTAGAACGAAAGGTTTTCTGTGAATTCCGTTGATCGTTTAGAGGTGTAAGTTGGTTGAATATACTGTACTAGAAACCAATTCGCCTTTTGCTTAGATGAGAAGATATGTTGTGGAATTCAACTTTAGACTCCACATTTTCTCTCTTAGAAGGCACAGATTAAAGCAAAAATCTGGATTTTGGTTTCATCAATTAGTTTCGCGATTAAGTTTCTTTTATTTGAGTTTTTAATTTTTTTAAATTTTATTATTATTTAATTGTTTCCATTAACTATTGATATTATTGTATATATCAATAAGAAAATACTCAATATATATTGTTGTTGTAGAAATTAGCACCAACGTGGGAGCAACTGGCTAAAACTCTGGAGCTCGACAATGAAGTTACCGTAGGGAAAGTAGACTGTACGCAGCACAGATCTGTCTGTAACGACTTTGACGTGAAAGGATACCCCACTCTATTATGGATAGAAAATGGCGCAAAGGTAATATAGTTTATTTGTTTTGTCGCACTATTAATTTTTTCTTATTCACGCTTAGGTGGACAAGTACCAAGGCGACAGAAGCCACGTCGACCTCAAACAATACGTTAACAAAATGCTAGGAACCGAAAAGACCGAACGTGCATCTCCAAAACCAGCCGCATCCGACGCAGACCTTCCCTCAGGAGAAGTAACCGGCGACAACTTCAAGTCTACCATCGAATCAGGAATTGCTTTCGTCAAATTCTATGCTCCGTGGTGTGGACATTGTAAGAGACTGTCGCCCGTTTGGGATAGCCTCAGAGAAAAACTCGTTTCAAGGCCTGAAGTTAAGGTCCTCAAAGTGGACTGTACGTTAGAAGTTAACAAACAGTTGTGCAATGACGAAGAAATCGAAGGTTTCCCTAGTCTTAATCTGTACCAAAACGGAGAGAAGATCGCTTCGTACAGTGGCAGCAGGAGTCTGGAGGATCTGCAAGAGTTTTTGTTGAAGCATACACCACGTGATGAACTTTAAATGTTTCTAGTTTGCAAAATATTAATTTCTTTATTTAAAATCGATCTTTTTTTGTTCAAAAAATATTTTTTCGTTATAAAAACGAAACAAAATACCTACACCACTGTTTTAACATATCTTTCAGCAATACAGGGTGATTTGTAGTAGGTATTACCTTATCTATGATAAATATGACTTGTTTGCTTATTAACTGTATCTTCTACTTAACTAATCTACTTCAGTTCAACGTTTTACTCACTTTAGCAACAATTTTCTTATAGAAAATTATTTAATGTTGGTATGTCGCAAAGGATTCTACACATTTTCTTTAAATATCTTTGGAATTACATTAAAATAGTAACCCTTACAGCAACAACTTCATCGTTGGTCGCTTTTATGTCTTCCGGTTTGGTGCATTTATTCTATGGCTTCCTGTGAGTCACCTGTAGGTCTTTTTTCCTGTTATTCCATCATTGAGTCCTGAATTTGTTACTTCTGCTTCAATTTCAACACTACACAACTTTTATCCAATACTAAGTATTGTTAGTAATGTATTTTTTGAGTTTTCTTTACCTTTTACCTTAATAGAAGTCAAATCTGTTAAAATTTACCTTAAAATGCAATGCAAACAAAAGTGAAATATTACCAACTTTACTTTAAGGCTAAGAGTTTTATTTTCAGCTGTAGCAGACAGTGCTTCTAGATTAAAAATATGGTGTTTTATTTCTTCAGCAATTAACGATTTTCTAGTAAAGATCTACTCTTTCTATAATAAAAGTGGAACAAAAACATCAATATGATTAGTTATTAAAATTTTTCATTCATTGTTAAGTGTAGTTCTAAAATATTGTGATATTTTTGTGTTTACAGCAGTATTTTGCTCAATTTTTGTTAAAATATCAATAGATGAAGAACCATTCCCAATTTGTGTGTTCAATATCTTTGTATTTTAATTCATTTCGTATGGTTTTGTTGTTTAATTTTAAATAAAGGTTAAATATGTTGTTTTCTTTTTATTGACCTGTTGAAAAGTTGCTCAGAAACCAAACACTATTGAAAAATAAATTAGTGAAAAATGTACGAAACTTAAGTAAGTAAAAAATGTCATGAATGGGAAAAAACAGAGAAAAGGTAATAACAGATATCATTGGAGATCGTGATTATCCCAAATTCATAATCATGAAAGAAAAAAATATTTCTTTTAAAGAAAGTGTTCTGTATATCCATCGCCCACTTTTCAACTTTTTAAGCAGTATAGCATCGATTTTTGTCCAGAAAATTGCTTAAAATCGTTACGTTGTGAAATGTTCCACACCTCTACTTTAAAAAAGGAATTCTCATACTTCTTGTGAATTAACTGCACATGTTTTCTCGTATTGTTTCACCATTACCTTCTGAAACTGCTACTTTTGCTTCAATTTCAAGTAAGTATTACTCCTTGCATCTCTTTCTATCCTTTTAAGGATTTAGTTATATATATTTTTTGTTTTTTCTAAATTTTTGATATTAACCTTTCAGTTTCTTAAGTTTTCTTTTGTTGTATTTTTAATAAAAAACAAATCTCTTAAAATTTTGCTTTTAAAATGAATGTGAAATGTTAAGAACTATAATTAGGTAATAAACTGTTTTTTATACACCTATCTCTTATTAAAGTACTGTGAATACAAGTGTTGATTAGAACTTATTTCTCTGCTTAAAAGCACAAATATTAACTATTATAGCATTCCGTTGCGAGCATTCACAGTAAACAGACGATCCTTAAAATCACATTAAGCGACAGATAAGTTTTTGCGGTGATTAAAAATCAATATTTATATTTATAATTTAAATTTTGTGTAAATATATCGGTTAAATATTTGGAATTTTTGTGAAAATAAGTGATTTACCCCCCCTAATGGGGGAGGAAAATAACAATAAGACGCAAATGTGCGATTTAAGTGTTGCGACAAGTTCTCCAGAACATGACATGGAAATTGGTGCGAGTTCCGGTGATAAAACTGACAAAACAAGGGAAGTAAAACTTTATAACATTTCTTCTAATAATTATGATTTTCATAGCTGTTGCGTATATATCGAGAATTTAAATAATCAGAACATTTCTCGTTTACATCCAATGATTGTGGGGGAAATTTTGCATCAAAAACTGAAAATCAAAAATCTAAAGGAAATTAAATCTATAGGAAAAAATAGAGTTAAAGTTATTTTAAAATCAATTTTGGATGCAAATCATCTAGTAACACATAATAAGTTAAAGGATGAAAATTTAAAAGCCTATATCCCTAACCATCTCTTGGAAATCAAGGGAATAATTCACGATGTAGATACGAGGTATGATACTGATTATTTAAAAAAACATATAGACTCTTCCGTTAAAATTACTGACATTAAAAGAATGCATAGAAAGGTAGATAAAGACGGTAAAACAGAATACGTCCCCAGACGAAATATTATAGTTACATTTGAAGGAAATGTTTTGCCAACTTATGTCGTAGTTAATTTTGTGTATTTGCCAGTAGAAAGATTTGTAGGCAGGGTAATACAGTGCTACAAGTGTCTGAAATTTGGTCACATTTCTAAGCAATGCAAGGGCACACAAGAATTTTGTATACGATGTGCAGAAATTAAAAATGATAGTCACATATGCGACACTAAAAAAACTTTTTGTATACATTGTAAAAGTAAAGATCATATTTCGATCTCCAAAAGTTGTCCCGTTTATGAGGAACAAAAAAAAATTAAAAACATTATGCTAGATCAAAAAATCTCCTTTCTAGAAGCCAAAAGATATAAAGAGTCATCTTTTTCCGGATTTGTTAGTAATAATAAATTTTCGTTATTGTCAAACCTTGAAGAAAATTTTCCAAAACTACCTAATGTATCTGATGACATTACGTCATCTCATCCTACCATTCCAAGACCGTATATGAAAAAATCAACAAACTTTGCTCATCCTGGACCTAGTAAGATTAATACTGAACATTATGCACATAAAAAAAGGAAAGTGTCTACTCCTGTTTCACAATCCCCTACAGATTCTACCACCTTTCCTTTTAGATTTGGTCCGTTACAACCTCTACCACCCAATCCCAATAAACCTAATAGTTCAATAGATGGTGAAAAAAACAAGATAGTTATTTCGTTAGTCAATTTTTTTTCTGAATTTATAAAAAATGTCAAATCAGTTGAGGATGTAAAAACACTGGATAATAATTTGTTAGCTAAGGGTTTGTATACTGTTCTCGAGGATATTTTTAAAAGTACTTAAATTTATGGCCTTAAACACTAAACTTAAAATTATGCAATGGAACGCTAGATCAGCTGTTGCAAATAAAAACAGCCTACTCAATTTTCTTACTAAAGAAGATGTTGATATAGTTCTTTTAAGTGAAACCTGGTTCAAAAGTAATGTTGTATATAATTTTAAAGGTTATAATATTGTTCGTCAAGATCGTGCAGACGGTTTTGCTGGTGTCGCTATTTTGGTAAAAACGGGTATCCGTTTTGAAATATTAAAATTAAATAAAAACTTCAATAAAGAGCTGCTTGCCTGTGGTATTAAAATTAATTACGATAATACTCACTTGAGTTTTCTCTCTGTGTATAGATGTCCAAAAACCAAAACCAGAATAGAAGATTGGAAAAACTTATTTTCCCAAGTGAAGCACCCCTGCATTATTGGAGGTGATATGAATGCCCACAATGCGCTCTGGGGATCATCAAAAAATGATAATATTGGCGATCAAATTGTAGAGACCCTACAGGATCTTGATTTTATTGTGATGAATAACGGTCAACCTACTTGTCAAGGAAATCCAGGACATTCAGATTCTATGATTGATATTACGGTTTGTTCCCCTTCCATTTTTGCTAAGACATTTTGGACTGTAGATTCTGATACACTTGGATCAAATCACTTTGTTGTAAAAATAGAACTCGAATACTCAAGAGTTATTAATGAGACCATATACCCCAAAAGTAAATGGAATATTAAGAAAGCCAATTGGGATATGTACGCTGAAATAATCGAGAATATGTTAAATGAAAGTGGACCTATAACCCCAAATGCTGAAGAAAAATATAATACTTTATTAGACTGTATCAATAAAGCTTCCACACAATGTATTTGCCAATATAAACCCTTTAAGTGTAAAAAACGGACTCCTTCACCGTGGTGGGATGCAGAATGTGATCTAATTGTTGCAGAAAGGAAAAATGCATTAATAAAATACAAGCAAGATCCATCAGTTGAAAATTTTATTAAATGTAAACAAGCTAGTGCTCACGCTAAGAAATTATTGAAATCGAAAGCCAAACAAAGCTGGGTTGATTGGTGCTCAAAATTAAATAAACAAACATCGCCTACCTCGATTTGGAATCAAGCAAAAAGGATGAACAGGAAAATGGTCAATGCTCCATTACCACTGGAAGATTCGTGGACAGAAGAGTTTTTGGACAAAATTGCACCACCATATGTGAACAATCACGAAGATTTGATGTTATTCAATCCGAATCATAGTCATTTTCTCTTAAAACCATTTACAATGCTAGAATTGGACTGTGCCCTTAGTGATCGTCCTAACACTTCTCCTGGTTATGATGAAATCAAATATGTTATGCTACTGAATTTACCAAATAATGCAAAAGAGTTACTTCTAAATATTTTTAATCAGATAATTAGAGAAGGTTCTAACATTTCAGCCTTCAAACATATTATTGTCATTCCTATACCCAAACCTGGGAAAAATCTAAAATTAGTTGAAGCTTACAGACCCATATCTTTATTATCTTGTGTACAAAAAACTCTAGAGAGGATAATTAAGGCTAGGTTAGAATGGTGGTTACTAGAGCAGAACCTTCTACCCAAAGAACAATACGGATTTAGGAAAGGTTTTGGTACTTTGGATGCATTGGCTACCCTAGTTGTAGACATTCAAAACAATTATTCCCGAAACAATTACTTACCAGCATTATTTCTTGATATAGAAGGTGCTTATGACTCTGTGTGTTTAATAGCACTTAAAGAAAAAATGACAAGAATATTTCAAATTCCAGCCCAATTTGCCGCTAGTATTGTTAATCTATACTCAAACAGATTAGTTTATTTAAGAAAAGAACAAATGCTCATAGGCCCCAGAATCGTAAACAAAGGATTACCTCAGGGTTCTGTATTGAGCCCTATCCTGTTTAATATGTACGTAGCGGACTTGTACAATATTAAAATAAATAACATACCCTTCAACCTCATACAATATGCAGATGATTTCTGCATTTACACAGAACACAAAGAATATCAAACAGCAATTAAAAACTTGGATAGTATCTATCAGCTACTTCAAAAATGGCTCCATAAAAACAATTTTGAATTATCTTGCA